CACACACACACACACACACACACACACACACACACACAAAATTGTGGCCAACAAAATCAATGCTCTGGAAGATAATGTAGGTCATTTTGAGGTCAATGCACAAGACTTATGACCTCGTCTGGAGATCTGGAAGATAGAGAGAGAGAGAGAGAGAGAGAGAGAGAGAGAGAGAGAGAGAGCGTATGGAAGGAAGAAGAGAAAGTAAAATCCCGTGTGCCTCTTGCGAAATACCGTATTACTAATTAATCCTTCTACAACTCACCCCACCAACACCAAAAAAAACCCAGACTCGCATTAATTGGGCACGGCAGACAAAGAGCATTATCTCCGCAATAGTATCGCGGGCAGGACCAGACAAGACTTTACAGTGGTAGTTGTGAGGTCAGAATCATGAGATGAGACGAGGAAACGACGCACGCAGTTACTGCAATATTCATGAAAACGAACTTAAAGGACGGCTGGCTTCAGTCATAGGAGAACCACATTCTACGCATCATCAAACGATTGTTTTTCATTGCGCACTATGGAGTGACGAAGATTTTGTGCTCACTCGGAAGCTGCACTAGAACGATGGACATGTCGCCTCTTTCGAAATAATATGCGATATTGTCTTGGATAAAAATTTTGTTCTCGATGTTAACAGTATTAATTCATTCAGGTTTTCGATGCCTTGGTGTTGCTGAGCGACAACAAACATCCATACACCTTTCAGTTCAGAACTAAAATCACTTAAATGACCAAGACTCATTAATCAAACCACCATATAAAAAACTGTCCCAATACAGAGGTATCAAATCGCTAGGGCATCGCTGATAAAAAGTTCATGTCTTTCCGAGGATTTTCCATCAACAGATTGAGAACAATAGGTTCGTCGTTCCTTGGTAAGCCCACGTATCGTGCCTAATATACTCATCCGAGTGAGCCGACCCGAGCTTCGAGCGACAACCAAAAACATTTTCTTTCCCTGCCTTTCTCTCCATCACCCCCCCCATCTGCTTACTGACAGCTGCATCCTAGCTAAGCCTTTTGAATTCCTATAATCTTTTCCCCCTACCCCATTTTCCTATGTGGCAGTCCCATTCAGGCGCCCCCTCCCTGAGAGAAATCCTCTTGTCCATCATCTGACAGCTTCTCATAATCTCCCCATGCCCC